TTCTCTGTTCGGCTTAGTTTTTCAGATCTTTGCTGTGGAGGGACAGCGTGGTGCTTCTGTCTAGAGCGCCATTTTCCTGGAACTCCTGTCCTCCTTTATCTTAAAAGCTAATATGATTTTTTAAAATTTTCAAGCCAAAATAAAAATTCAATATATGTGCATATAACTCTTAGGAGAAGTTGAGTAGTTGCTGACAAATGATGATATGAATAATAGGGTATCCAAATGTTCTAATATTTAGAAGTTCTAATAAACATAATGTTTCCACAGTTCAATAACAAAATGAAGAATAACCCAGTAGGAAAATGGGCAAAGGATATGAAAAGACACTTTATAGGAAAGGACATATAAATTTCTCTTAAGCATATGAAAAGATACTTCTACCCACCTCTTCACCTGCTTTCTGAGTAGATCTTATCCCCCTTTCCCTCCTTTATTTCCTTCATAGCATTTATTCACCACCTGACAGTATGCATCTACTTGTTTGTTTGTTTATTGTTTGTCTGTCTCTCCTAAAAGGTAAGCTCCATGAGAGCAGGGATTTCAGTCTCTGATGTATCCCAATGCCTAGAACAGTGCCTGGCACATAGTAGGCACTCAGCAAATATTTGTTGCATGGATGAATGAACTTACTCAAAATACAAGAATTGTGAGTTAAAACTACAAGATACTACTTTTTGTAGTTTGCTTAGGAGATTGGCAAAAAGAAAAAAGAAAAATTGATAACACTATATGGGTGGACTGTGAGTCTACAGGTACTTTCATGTATTTCTGGTAACTGTCTCCTCATCAGTGGAGGGCAGCTTGGCAGTATTAATCAAAATTACAAATGCACATATCTTTTGACTCCGCAATACTACTTCTGCATATTTGTTTTACAGCTATGCTTACAAAAGGAGCTCTTTACAAGGATGTTCATTATAATTCTTATAATAGCCAAAATAAAGAAAAAGAAAGCCTAAATGGGGGTTGATTAATTTATAGTTCATTCATACAAGAGAGTGTAGTACAACCATATAAAAGAATGAGGAGGCTCTTTATGTACTGATTTAGAGCAATATCCAAGATATATTCTAAAATGAAAAAAGAAGTGTGTAGAACAGGGTGTAGTGTGCTACCATTTGTGTAAAAAAAGAGTAAGAACTAAGAATATGTATGTATGTACTTGTATGTGCATAGAGACACTCAAGATATCATTGGTTGCTTCTAGGCAGCTGGTGTCACATAAATTTATTTTGAATCATATGAATTTATTACCTTTAAAATTTTTCCAAAAAAAAAGTAGGAATATTTTACCAAGTCAAAATAAAATATAACAAAACATTTCCTAAGAAATGCTCTAAAAATTAAAAGTTAGCTTCTGCTTTCTAGATGGTTGTTATAGTCTTAAAATTGACCCTTATTCTATTTGTATCAATGCTCTGTTAGAGAGGCAAGAGGGCGTAGGGGTTTGAGAGCATGGGCTGTGGATACAACCTAGCAGAAGTCAGACCACAACTCTTCTATTATTTAACAAGTTTCTTAACCTCCCTGGGACTCAGTTTCCTCATCTATAAAATGGGTATAAAATAGGACCTAACTCATAGGTTGTACAGATGAAATGAGTTAATCACTCAAAGTACAGTGCCTGGAATAGAGAAAGAATTTTAATTACTGTTATTCATTTTTATAATATAAATAAAAGATATATGAGTTTTCCTTAAATAACTGACCGATAGGCATTATTCAGCAACTTGCTATTTTAGAGCTGGTTACAGTTACCTGTTTTATATTTTTCAGACACCCCAGATGTCAACATATATTATACCCTGGATGGCAGCAAACCTGAATTTCTAAAGAGAATGGGTTATGGTGAAAATAATACATTTAAGTATACAAAACCTATTACTCTGCCTGATGGAAAAATACAAGTTAAAGCTGTTGCAGTCTCTAAGTAAGTTAAGAATGTAGTGATTAAACTACTTCTTAGCATAATGTAATAACATTATGTTTTAATTTTATTTCTTTCTTCCTATGAATATCATGCTGGATTAGAAGAACACTAAACAAAAAGTTGCTTTAATTTCAGCATATATGTAACTTCTGTGTTTCATTTGTGCACTATAAAGTGTGCAAATCATATATGTACCCAGCTCAGTGAAGTGTTATGTATACCAATAGTTTTTATTTTGAATTCCACATTAGGAGTTGGGAAAGAAAGAGCCTTTTTAGGGTTTTATCTGACTCTGAAAAAGATACCGTATTTAGTGGATGGTTCTTTTACTCCCCAGGAAGCAGCCATCATTCTCTGCTTTATTTTGTATTGACTAAATTGGCCTCCAAAACTACTGTATTTCAACTGGCTGGACATTATCTAGTGGGCCCTGGTGGCGCAGTGGTTAAAACACTCAGCCGCAAACCAAAAGGTCAGAGGCTCGAACCCACCAGTCGCTCTGCAGGAGAAAGATGTGGTAGTCTGCTTCCCTAAAGATTTACAGCCTGGGAAACCCTATGGAGGCAGTTCTACTCTGTCCTATAGGGTCGCTAGGAGTCGGAATTGACTCGATGGCAGCGGGTTGTTTTTTTTGATTGGACATTATCTACTTTATGTTTTGTCCTCACTTATGTTCTCAAATACTTTTTTCCTATTTTTAAGTATAGAAACATCTCTTATATGGCAACTTTCACTGTGTGTTGTCCAGAAAAAACTCAAATGTTTAACAAGTCTTGTGACCTTGATAGAGGAATTGTTTTGTCCAGCCAGACAGGTTTGGCCACATTTTTGGAACATTTTAAGTCTGGAAACAAATACCTGGCTGGCTGTCTAGGCCCCTGGCTTTTTGACGAGAGCTACAAATTCAAGACCAAAGGTGATCACTTTGGCATCTGAAAATTAAAACAAATAATAAGATAGAAATGAAACAAAACAATCCCTCATACACATTACTATTCTTTATTAAAGATTAGAATTTGCATATTTTTTTCCACTTTCAAGCCAATTCTATCTAAACAGTTCATCCCAAATATCATTAAAAATTAACAAATGAAATACTCTGGTACCTAATGCTATAAGGCAGGCTGCCTTAGAAGCTGCAGCTAGCAATAAAATGAAGTAGTAATTTAATAACCAGCTGTAGTTAGAAAGACTTAATAAAGCTTTCAAAAGAATGAAAAAAAAATAAGGTCTTTTTTTTGCCTTTCACCATCATCTCTTTCCACGCCCATTGTCTGTTCTGAAAATCACTGCTAGTATTTCAGAGATCCTCAGCTAGGGAAATATTTATACAGAAATATGTTTGAGTCTTCAACACAGAAAAATTAGGCCCTGTGTAGATTTGCAATAAAATAGTTCTTTATGAAAATTATTCTGTTTCATTCAAGTCTGTTTTTAAGTACATAAAGTAGTTTCATGAATAAGGAGAAAAAAGATTTTTAAAATGAGATTGTACTAATTGAAGGTCACTAATATATTCAAAGGAAAAATTATGTTTATGAAGTTTTGAATGACATAGGAAAATATTTGATATAATAAGTAAAAAATATTAAGACACAAGATTACAGTATACTATTTTAACTATGCTTAAAAATATGTAGAGAAAAGACTGGAAGAAAACATGCCAAACTTTAGTAGTAATTCAAAAACAAAACCCATTGCTGTTGAGTCGATTCTGACTCATAGTGACCCCACAGGACAGAGCAGAACTGCCCCATAGGGTTTCAAGGCTGTAAATCTTTATGAGAACAGACTGCCACATCTTCCTCCCTCGGAGAGGCTGGTGAGTTTGAACCGCCAACCTTTCAGTTAGCAGCCGAGTGCTTAACCACTGTGCCACCAGGTTCCTTTAGTAGTAATTGCCTCTGGTAAAATCATTTTTTGTTTTTTGTTTTTTCTTCTTGATAATATTGTGTGGCTTCCAAAATGTAACAATGAACATTACTTTAAAAATAAATAAGAAGTTATTATGTAACAAGTTAATGAGAAGTTGCCACTTAATTATATACAGTTACTGATGAAGATTTTTATTCAAACTAAGTAAAAAGTCCACCACTCATCTGTCAGTTTGTCATACTGTGGTGGCTTGCCTATTACTGTGGTACTGGAAGCTATGCCGCCGTTATTTCAAATACCAGGAAGGTCACCCATGGTGGACAGGTTTCAGCAGAACTTCCAGACTAAGACAGACTAGAAAGAAGGACCTGGAGGTCTACTTCTTAAAAAATTAGCCAGTAAAAACCTTATGAATAGCAATGGAACATTGATATAATGCCAGAAGATGAGTCCTTCAGGTTGGAAGGCACTCAAAAGACGACTGGGGAAGAACTGCCTCCTCAAAGTAGAATCAACCTTAATGATGTGGATGGAATCAAGATTTTAGGACCTTCATTTACTGATGTGGCACAACTCAAATGAGAAAAAGCACCTACAAACATCCATTAATAATAGGAATGTGGAATGTGCGAAGCACGAATCTATGAAAATTGTAGGTCATCAAAAATGAAATGAAACACAGATCAATATCCTAGGCTTTAGTGAGCTGAAGTGGTCTGGTATTGGCTATTTTGAATCAGACAATCATGGTCTGCTATGCTGGGAATGACAAATTGAAGAGGAATGGCATCACATCCATGGTCAAAAAGAACATTTCAAGATCTATGCTGAAGTACAACACTGTCAGTGATAGGGTAATATTCATACATCTACAAGGAAGACCAGTTAATACAACTACTATTCAAATTCATGCACCAACCACTAATGCCAAAGATGAAGAAATTGAATATTTTTTACCAACTTCTGAAGTCTGAAATTGATCAAACAATCAAGATGCATTGATAATTACTGGTGATTGGAATGTGATTGGAACCAAAGAAGAATCAGTAGTTAGAAAATATGGCCTTGGTGATAGAAACAACACCGGAGATTGCATGATAGAATGCAAATACCTTTTTTCGACAACGTAAACAGTGACACACGTGAATCTCGCTGGGTGGAATACACAGTAATCAAATCGACTACATCTGTGGTATGAGACTCTGGGGAAGTTCAGTATCAGTCAGAACAAGGCCAGGGGCCGACTGCGGAACAGACCATAATTTGCTCATATGCAAGTTCAAGTTGAAGCTGAAGAAAATTAAAACAAGTCCATAAGAGCTGAAGTACAACCTTAAGTATATGCCACCTGAATTTAGAAAATATTTCAAGAATAGATTTTTTTGTATTGAATGCTAATGACCAAAGACCAGACCAGTTGTGGGATGACATCAAGGACATCATTCATGAAAAAAGCCGAAGGTCATTAAAAAGACAGGAAAGAAAGGACCAAAGGACCAAAATGGGTGTCAGAAGAGACTCTGAAGCTTGCTCTTGAATGTAGAGTAGCTAAAGCGAATGGAAGAAATGATGAAGTAAAAGAGCTGAACAGAAGATTTCAAAGGGTGGCTAAAGAAGAGAAAGTAAAGTATTATAATGAAACGTGCAAAGACCCTGGAGTTAGAAAACCAAATGGGAAGAACACGCTCAGCATTTCTCAAGCTGAAAGAACTGAAGAAAAAATTCAAACCTCGAGTTGGAATTTTAAAGTATTCTTTGGGCAAAATATTGAACGATGCAGGAAGCATCAAAAGAAGATGGAAGAAATATATAGAGTCACCGTACGAAAAAGAATTGGTCGACATTCATACATTTCAGGAGGCATCATACGATCAACAACTGATGGTACTGAAAGAAGAAGTCCAAGATGTACTGAAGGCATTGGCAAAAAACAAAGGTCCAGGAATTGATGGAATACTAATTAAGATGTTTCAACAAAGGGATGCAACGCTGGAAGCACTCAATCATCTATACCAAGAAAATTGGAAGACAGCTACCTGGCCAAGCGACTGGAAGAAATCCATATTTGTGCCCATTCCAGAGTAAGGTGATCCACAAATTGTGGAAGTTATCGAACAATATTATTAATATCACACGTCCATAAAGTTTTGCTGAAGATAACTCAAAAGTGGTTGCAGCAGTGCATCGACAGGGAATTGCCAGAAATTCAGAAGAGGACATGGAATGAGGGATATCATAGCTGATGTTAGATGGATCTTGGCTGAAAACAGAGAATATCAGAAAGAAGTTTACCTGTGTTTTATTGACTATGCATACAAATTATGGATAACATTGCGAAGAATGCGAATTCCAGAATACTTATTTGTGCTTATGTAGAACTTGTACATAGACCAAGAGGCAGTAGTTCAAACAGAATAGGAGGATACTGTGTGGTTTAAAATCAAGAAAGATGTGTGTCAGGGTGGTATCCTTTCACAATGCTTATTCAATGTGTATGCTGAGCAGATAATCCGAAAAGCTGGAGTATATGAAGAAGACTGCAGCATCAGGATTGGAGGAAGATTCATTAACAGCCTGCAATATGCAGATGACACAACTTTGCTTGCTGAAAGCTAAGAGGACTTGAAGCACTTACTGATGAAGATCAAAGACTACAGCCTTTAGTATGGATTACACCTCAACATAAAAAAAAACAAAAATCCTCACATCTGGACCAATAACCAACATTATGATAAACGGAGAAAAGACTGAAGCTATCAAGAATTTCATTTTACTTGGATCCACAATCATTGCCAATGGAAGCGCCAATCAAGACATTACACGATATCCAAAGCAATCTAAAAATTCAGTGCAATCTCTATCCAAATACCAACAGAATCCTTTAATGAGATGGAAAATTTTATGTTGTCGTTGTTGTTGGGTGCTATCGAGTAGATTCCCACTCATTACAACCCTGTGTATAACAAAATGAAACACTGCCCAGTCCTGCACCATCCCCACAATCGTTGGTACGCTTGAGCCCATTATTGCAGCCACTGTGTCAATCCATCTCATTGAGGGTCTTCCTCTTTTTCACTGACCCTCTACTTTACCAAGCATGATGTCCTTCTCCAGGGACTGATCCC